ACAGCTGTCAAGAGTTACTTTGTAGTCTCTTCTCCTTCAGAGAGATCACATGACTGAAGGTTCCCGATAAGCAAAAAGGATGTCTGACCTTGAAGCATTACATGCTAAAATGGTGTATTTTGTTATCCTTGTCCATATGATTGGAGCAGAATTGGTGCTGTGGTACTGTGTTTTCTGATGTTTATGTATATCTTTTCTCCATTAATACATTGGCAGTAAAGATGTAAAATGCTACTAAGCTACTTATTCATGTGGTCTTAATTAAATTTGGAGAATGGAAAATGTTTGTGTGAATAATTCTCACTCACATAAACATTGCAAGCAGCTGACTGCTGTACGATCGGGGATAGAGCGGCGCTTTCTCCTCTCTGACGTGTTCTTTTTCTGTGTCCTTTCACATTACAGGGTGGCTGCAGGTTTGTTGCAGCAATGCTCCATTTCTTCTTCCTGGCGGTATTCACCTGGATGCTGTTAGAAGGGGTGCAGCTGTACCGTATGGTTGTTCTGGTGTTCAATGCCACCATGCGGCCCCTCTACCTATATGCTGTGGGCTACGGGACGCCTCTGTTTATCGTCATTATATCCGCCTGCGTTAGACCAAACGGATACGGCACTAAAAAATAGTAAGTCTTCCAGTAACTAAAAGCAAAATAAATAGTTTGTGATGAACAGAGAAGCCTTGTCTGTGCATGTGTATCTACAGTTGCTTAATAGTAATGACATCAGTAGGTTGCATAAACTTGCTATCTATCTCAGTGAAGCAAAGAACATCCCGTTGTGAACGTGTGTTTATCACTCCTAAACGTAGCTGCTGGCTATCCACGGATGACGGCTTCGTCTGGAGCTTCTTCGGGCCTGTGTGCTTAGTCATCTTTGTGAATGTCTTCTTCTTTCTCATCACCGTCTGGAAACTTGCCCAGAAGTTTGCCAGCCTCAACCCAGACCTCTCCAACCTGCACAAAATTAAGTCAGTCTGTGTATTAATTTGAATGTGTAACCCTTTCCAGTGCATGACCAAACTGTGTAACTATAAAACGTACAATATATAGATTCAATATGGCAGCTTCGGGACTGGGAATTGCTTTGATAGAAAGGATACGTTTTGTGATGGGGAAAAAAATGGAGGGAATGTTTTCTTAGTTGTGACAGCTCCCTGATGGGCTCCTGTTAATGGATTTTGTCTCGCCTGTCTACCTACAGCAGGCTCATACTTAGCTCATGGACCCTCCGCTCATAGCTGCAAAAAACATTAGAGTTAAAAAAGAAAAAGAATCCCTTGTTCTTTTTGCTAGTCGATCATGAATGATGTGTAGTTCAGTCCAAGGAGTTGGGAAAGTGAACTTCTTGTGCCAGAAACAAGAGAGAAAGATGTTTTTTTTCAGTAGAGAAAAAGTCAGAAGGCATTAAATTATAATCCAACGCTTTCTGTGTGTGGAAGAAAAGTCTCTTTTTCACATTTCGATCTTCTTGTTTGCTAAATGGATTCTTAGCTAAGTTGGTAACTTGAGCTTGGCTGGATAAATAAATAGAACAAAGGAGCCATACAGAGCAAACTGACAGAAACTTCTTTTTACGAGTGCCTCTTTTAATCTCTCTTTTATATTTATCATTAGCCTTTGGCTTTTCTGCTTCCACATAAATTCAGCAGACAGCAAAGTGAACTAAAATGATCTGTTCTGTAGCTGCTTTGCCTAGAACACATGTCTCATTGTGTTCTTTCACTTTTAATGGGGCTTTCCAAACACTGATGTAGTAACTGAGTCATCCGTGTGTAACCTTTACCATTCTCCAGTAATCTTTATTGACTTACCCTTTTCCCCATCCTTCTTTTCCGTCTGCAGAGCTTTCACTGTGACAGCTGTAGCCCAGATGTGTATTCTGGGTCTGATGTGGGTATCTGGGGTCTTCTTGTTTCAAGAGGATCCCCCTGTTGCGGTGTCGTACATTTTCACCATCTTCAACAGCCTGCAGGGCGCACTGGTCTTCATCATGCACTGTCTGCTGTCCAAACAGGTACGAATACAGTATATTTGTGCAAAGCTTCGTGTGGACATGATGCTAAGACCGAAATTAAAACAGCATGAAAATGTATATTTAAAAAAAAATCAGTGAAAAGGGCAAAAGCAGTGACAAACATGCTAGATTGTGTCAGTATGCGAGGTGGCAACACAGATTTGTTTCTTAATGTTCTGTTGCCCTCTGTAGGTGAGAGAGGAATATGCCAATTTCCTCTCCTGTATCTGCACGTCACAGAAGAAGAGATACTCAGACCTAAGCACCACAAATCCCTCCAGCAGTCAATCACAAGTAAGCATGCAATAATACCACTGGATATCACCATCGGTCACAAGCACACTTTGTAGTGGAAAGTAAAGAAACTGCATTTTCTCACTGGTAGCACTTTGGTACTTTTTAATCTACTAGGGGTGTGTAATTATTAGCTTTAAATTACTCTGTGTCTAACTGTGTGGTTTGTCTCCCTTTAGGGTTCAAAGAGTGGGCAGCAAACAGGAGAATCACAAATATGAAGAGCTCAAGCTAAAGCTGTCCTCCAAAGACTTAATGACTATCACACATTCAGCCTATTTTGTCACCTACAGCAATTCTTCATTTAAACTTGATTCCGGTGAAGTCTAAAAGCAGCGACTCACTAAATGATTACACAATGCTGGCTGAGGGGTGTTGGCAGATTCACCCACACTCGGTGACTTGGGAAAAAAAAGAAAAAAAGTGGTTCCTGGATATTTACATTTAAACTATAGTTTTTAGTTTTATCCAAGTCCTCTTAAAATCCTTTATTTCAAAATAAAATGTCATTCTTAGGTACTGATAGCAAGCATTTATAGCTTGTCTTTAAAGCGTCACATCATAGAACAGTAAGAAATGAAATTGTGACCTCTTAAGCACAGGTTAGTCCTCGTAGGTAACGTAATGTTAATGGGACCAAATTTCAGTTCAGTCCAGTAGCATCGTTTGCTACTCACAAGGTCGCAAGGTCCGATTTACCTCCTGAATTCGGTTGTTTTCCTCGTTGTTTGTGTGTTGTAGCACTCTTTGTAGTTCAAGGCGTACTGGTAATGACAGATTTTTATCACTGAGTTTTAAAAAAATGTCATTAAAGTCACAGGCAAGAAAAAAACGGCTATTAAAAGTGTTTATTCAGGAGTGTGAAAGTGAAGGTGCTCGAGTGGCTTATTGGTTCACACAGAACATATCACAGTAATAATATAAGCTGTATTCCTTTCAAAGTCATAAAAAAAATGATATAATTATGTTAGTATTTATTTTCAGTGCAGACAATAAAGTCCATGTTATGTAGGCTACAGGAAAAAAATGAGCATGCCAACTGTTCTGTTTTACATATTTGTATTTTTGTTTTTGCATAAATGGCTGTTTGTATATAAGATTGGGAATGTTGTTGTTACTGTCGGATAATATTTGTTTCCATGTACTCTATTTAACAGTAGGCTGCAACGGAAGCAGCTTACCAATGATGAGTTTCCCCTTGTTCCCATGTGGGTTCTTGCAAGGAGTTTACGTCTGCTTCTTTGATTACGAACAAAACAAGTGTTTTTAAAAAAATAATACTTGTGGCTATTTTCAAAGACTCGCCCTTGATTAACAACTGAGCTGTGCCTTTCCCCACCCCAAGTGCATATTTCAAGGGTTTTCTTTTTATTCTCAAAATTGTGAACTTGAAATTCTAAATCTGTCCCAAAACGAGTGGGCAATTCACAAAAACAGACCCACCCTACTGATAAGCCTGCAACTTCCTGCAAGCAAACTGCGTTTAAGCCTGTGAGCTGTCACAATGTGCCTTTACACACTCTTAGTTACTGTAAAACTTAAGCGATGGGAGCTGTACAGACCTGAATTTGTTTATTTTGTTGCACTTTTCCATGATGATAAATATGATGATCCCGCGCCTCTTTACTCACACAGTGCACCAGCCTCAGTTACAGATCCTGAAGAGTAAAAATAAACTTTTTAATATATTTCCAGTTACAGAAAAAACAAAAAGCGACAAAGATGTTAATATAAGGAAACATTTCGATTTCTTTATTGTCTTAATCCTTACTGCGAAATATATTAAAGTCACCTCGCTGTTGGTTTTAACATCTACCCTGTTCTTCGGTTGGTAAGTGTGATTGCACTTTTATGGCCATCGAACCTTTTTTTTTTATACAATGCTATGGATATCAATGTGAAAATAGCTACATGCTTTTTTTGTTGTATTGTGAATGTAAGTTATATGAACTTATTTTTTTACTTTGTTCTGTTTATATTTGGTACTGTTTTCTTTGAAGAATGTGCATCATAAGATTTATTAAAGCTTCTATTTCATCTGAAAAGAAGATTGTGGTTTATTAGCATTAATCAATAACACACCACCTTTTTTTCCCCACGAATGGACCTGTTGATCCATCCATCTTCTTCCGCTTATCCGGGACCGAGTTGCTGTTGATGTAAATTCCAAATCCATCCATCCTTCCATGGAATGGAATGATTTATAAAGCATAGTTTTTTATATTGCTTGTGAATCCAAATAGTCTTTTTTATTCTTCCTTTGAAAACTGCTTTAATCAAAATGATCTATTTAGTAATGATTTAAAAAAAAGCCCTATACACTTAATGGATTCAAATGTTAGAACTTCTACACATTCAATAAAATTTAACTTCTCTCTGCTTTTAAAACCTTGGCGCTCATTAGCCTTTCTGGGAATTAATAAATACTGATGATTAAACTCTTCCTTGATTGTAAGTGAGTAATCTATTGTAGTTATTCAGATGAAGAAATCGTGCCTATGCATGAACCCAGTAAATAATTTACCTCATGAAATGACACATTTCTGATTTTATAAACAGGACCGGCAGCGCTTTGATTCAGGAGTAATGAATCACACTGGCTCTGCGGTGACGCAGGAACTGCATGGGTTGTAACTTGTGCAACTCTCTGCTGCGTGCTGCCTCTTCTCAGGCATTTCACCTCTGGCTTTGGAAACATCTGACAGCTCTTTGAGCTGCTTCTGGTGCTGTTACTCAACTTAACGGTGAAGCTGACATTTAACTCGTCACAGCACACTGTTGCTGCTGAATCCATTATTTTTCTCTTGGACTATCATAATTAAGAATCTTTAAGAGGTAAGCCTCATCTCATGAGATTTCAGTTGAGTGTATTTTCATGATTTTTGTGCCTGAGGTCATTGTTTGTATTCTCAGAGATAAGATCATGGAGCGAAAGATCGGTGTCATATTGAGCTTCATTGGTTTGGGCACTGTGTGGCTGCACTCCTTCCCCTGGCTCTGCAGTCTGCTGGTGGGGCTAGGGCTGTGCTTGGTCTATATGGGATCTTGGAAGAACATTCATATAGCTTTGCATACTTTTAAAAGAGACCTCATGTAAGTAGGTAGTTTGTATGGGCTTGTCCCACATTTGCTTCTATGCTGGTCCATTCCTGTTTGCAAATACCCTTCACTGTTCTCATTTCCTCTTCTTTGTGTCTAAAAGGTGTTTAGCTGTTATAATTAAAGTGAGAATTTCCATGTATCACCATCGGCGAAACCGAAGAACCATCCCTGCCCTGTTTGCCCAGGTAGTGACACAACACCCAGACAAGCCCGCCTTGATATATGAGGCCACAGGAGAGGTGAGGTCTCATCAAGAATAACAAATAGAAAGAAAACATTTTACCTTAATTAAAACAGCGAATAAACTGAATTAAGATGACTGATTTTACATTTTCATTTCATTTCAGGTTTGGAGTTTTAGAGAGCTCCAGGAGAGATGCCACGCTGTGGCCCACTGGGCATTGGCTCAGGGCTGGACTGAGGGTGATGTGGTGGCTTTGTACATGGAAAGTCAGCCTTTAATGGCAGCTTTATGGCTGGGTTTTGCTATAATAGGTGTTGAGGCTGCTCTTATCAACTACAACCTTAGACAGCAGTCATTGCTACACTGTCTCAGTGTTTCTGGAGCTCGAGCGATGGTGTTTGGATCGGAGATGACTGGAGGTGGGAACTAAATATACTTTATTTATAGGATAAATACAGAGCTTATTTGGCCAGAGGTGGAATAAAACAGCGAATAAAACATGTGCTGGTTCGCCTGTTTTACATTTTTCACACTTTTGATTGTCTTCCAGCTGTAACAGAGGTGAGTAGCATGTTGCAGCCCAGCATGGTTTTGTTCAGCGCTGGTAAGCAGGAAGACAAGGATGAGCTTCAGGTTCAGAGTTTGGACTCTCTGTTGGCCAGTTCACCCACGCACCCACCACCCTACAAGATAAGGAAAGAGTTTAATGGTGAGGCTCTGTAGAATTTGTGCACATGGGTAGGTGGATGCTGCATTTGACATTTTACAAGATTCGATTGCAACACATTCTTGTCTTTAGCAAGTCTTTGCCTGCTAGAGTAAATGGCCGACTGCCAAAATTGGCTGTCTTGCGTATTTTTTCTTTTTATAATTTAGCTCACATGTGTGTCAAAAAAATGGAAAAAAAAATGGAAAAAATCATCAAGTTACTACAAAGTTCAAGACTATGAACAATATTTATCTTTTATTTTATATAATGCATGCAAATAAAACTCTGGCCATGTTCAATTCAATCGTTTATATTGTTGTGCCTTTTAACAAAGGCATTGTTTTTGTCTTTGTTATTGCTTAGCATTCCTATGTTGACACACTTCAAGTCTTTACTTGATTAGCCTGTATGGGACGGAGAGAAAACAGAGTAACAAAAAAATGTGTAAAGAATGACGGGAGCGTCACGGTGCATGCCACCCATGTGAAACACCGTCAAAAGGTTTTGAGAATGTAATATGGAAATTTCTTCTTCTCTTTGTATTTGCAGACAGGCTTTTCTACATCTACACTTCTGGTACAACAGGAATGCCAAAGGCAGCTGTTGTGGTGCACAGTCGGTAAGTTTATCTGTGGAAACATCTGCAAAGGTGATGCAGTCCACTGAGGGACCTAAACAGTTTGATCAACAGTTAATAAAACGTACTCTTTGAATTTTGTTATAAGACATGTCTACGACATTTCAGTCATAAAATTGCACTTTTAAGAGAATCCTTTAAATAATGAGATAAGTAATGATGATGACTTCTGTCACTTCGTTTGTTGTTCTTTTTTGTCAGGTATTATCGCATCGCAGCTTTTGGTTTTCATTCTTTTGGCTTACGTCCTGATGACATCATCTACAACTGCCTTCCTCTCTATCATTCTGCAGGTAGGCCTTGTTTCTTCTCATCCGTGTTTTCAAAATACATTTAAAATTAATATAAAGTAAGATTTCCCACGCTTACACATCTTTACAAGCATGATGTCATTATAATAACAATCAGAATCATTCCTCATAGCTCTTATATTATTATGTCTATTTTAACTTAATGTATTACCCCATTTTAAAAAAGTACTTATTTTTACTTCCATTGGCTTTGATAAATGGTAAAATCTATTTGAGGTTTGCAAATCTTATCGTTATACTAAAAATACATTTTTTCCTGAAGTCAGACATTCATCACACTGGACATTTAGTGATGTTATTTTCTGGGCTAAATTTGGTGAAGGCTCATCAGTTGTCGCGCGACCCAAATGCAGGATGTGGAGGAAGGCAAAAATAAACAAAAAGTGAGACTTTATTGGCTGATACAAAAATCCCCAAACATACCAAAAGAGAAAACAAAACATGAATCCATACCAAAAAGGGCAGAAGAAGAAGAACCCTAAAGTCACACTCAGGACAACAGTGTTTGGAGACTGGAGCGTGACTAAAGTTATGCTAAAGTTATAACTGTGTGCAATGAACTTGCAATTTCGGTGCCTCTGGAAAGGCTGCCTTGCAGTCAGGGACTAACTCTGGGACCAGTTGTTTCAGTTATTTGCTTTCTTCAAGGCAACTTTGGAGCATCACGATGGCGACAAAGTCATGTGAACAACTTATTCAGAATCCAGCAGAACCTCAAGGATTTCAAACAGAAATTCAGAAATTCCTCCAGAAATAGTGATTCAGTTGCTACAGAACGATTAGCTGCAAAATGACATAGATGCTTGAAAATCTTGATCAAAAGCAGCCGGCAGTCAGTTGAATGAGATGCTGCAGCTGAGATCAGCTGAGACTGACTCACTGTTAGCAATCTGTTTGTGTTTGTTAATGAGACTGATTATTTGCAACATTTCTCAATTTGTCTGCAAGTAAATGGCCTGTATTTATATAGCGCTTTTTACTAGTCCCTAAGGGCCTCAAAGCGCTTTACATATCCAGTCATCCACCCATTCACACACACATTCACACACTGGTGATGGCAAGCTACATTGTAGCCACAGCCACCCTGGGGCGCACTGACAGAGGCGAGGCTGCCGGACACTGGCGCCACCGGGCCCTCTGACCAGTGACTGCAGATGGACGGCAGTTTTTCAGAGGCAGGTTGCCCCACCAATTGACCTGTGGAATTGTCTTGCAATCAAAGTTGAGGGTGTTGCATGCTCAATCTCTGGGCAACCAGTTGGCTCAACTATTTGCAATCAGTCTCCGACAGCACAACAAAACCCCCAACAACAGCTGCCTCAACACGCTTTATATAGGATAAAAAAAACATTGAACAAATAGACAATGTGACAATAAACTGACATAGGACAGACATGCACACCAAGAGAAGACAGGAAGCAGGCAGAGGTACAGGTGGTACAGGCTAGCAACAAAAAGCAGAAAGTGAAATAAGAAACACGAGAAAATTAATCTTCAGTGTGAAACAGAAAGTAAACAAAATAGGCTACATATGACTGAAACATGAAGGTGAGCAGTAAACATGATGACAGGGGAGCATAGAATGCATGGGATAATAAAAAAAACACTACAAACAAGAATAACTTTAAATTAAATTCTTTAAATTTGGTTCAAAAGTAAAAGTAAAAAAGGGCAAATGTTATCATCTTTAGGTTATTACAAAGTTTTTCACTTCAACATAATTCGAAATCAAGGACTTCGAGGTTTACCCACTGAGCAATTTTCTTTTAATGAGAGGTCTAAAAGAGGTCTACTGGTAACTGTCAAGGCTAAATCAAGCTATATTCATAAGTGAAATTTTAATAAATGTCTAAATGTCTTTTGAAAAGCTTTTCACCTTTCATGCTTTCAAGTGTTACACTGTTCAAATGGCTGGCAGGAGGGATACTGTTTCTGCCAATATGTAAAAGAAAGAACAAGTTTACAAGTATATATTTTCTCCACAGAAATCCTTGTCGTATGTGCTCATGTGTTCATGTGGATATTTACAGGGAACATCATGGGTTTGGGCCAGTGTTTGCTCTTTGGTTTGACTGTTGTAATCAGGAGGAAATTCTCAGCCAGTTGCTTTTGGGATGACTGTGCCAAACACAACTGCACTGTGAGTATGCTGGTGCAATAACTGTGCCTAGCCACAGGCCAAATGTCCTATTGATTTTCTTGAGCCAGTTCTATAAACAAGACTTGCGATTCGGTTTTAGTGTGTAATTGTACCTCTATGTCTGTGCGCACACATAGGTAATCCAGTATATAGGAGAGATCTGCCGTTATCTGTTGGCCCAGCCTGTTGGAAAATCAGAGGCTCGTCACAGGGTCCGTGTTGCCATCGGTAATGGACTCCGTCCCTCGGTGTGGGAAGAGTTTGTCAAGAGATTCAGAATCCAAAGAATTGGGGAATTTTATGGCGCCACAGAGTGCAACTGCAGCCTGCTCAATATAGATGGAAAGGTATGCTTACCTGGATGTTGTTTTACTGATTTCTTAGGAGGCTAAAGAATTTAAAACACAACATCTTTTTTACGTACCTGCTATGCTGTATGTTTGCACATCCAGGTCGGGGCGTGTGGCTTCAATAG